TTAAAAAAATGTCCCCAAATGTTCATTAAGTTAGCAAATTTTGGGTTTATTTCTTCAAGTCATTAGCATAACTTACAGCAATTTGAGAGGTACTATCCAAGGTGAGTAGGAAAGTTGTGACAGGGTTGCTTTCACGGAAGTGTTACAGAAGGAGCCCTATACAAAGTGCAGACCACCCTTACAGCAGCACATCTCCTACAGAGCCAGAAGTCTCCAGCATGGTGTTGCAATCTGCAGAAGTTTGAATTAAGGGCCATGTCAGTGTCTTGTTTTGGAAGTGGGGACAGTCTGCAGACAATAGAAACTGGAGCTCTGAAACAGGCAAGCAGTGCTAACCTGTCTGATTCATACCATGTCCTTGAAAGTTTATCTACACAACCTATGAAGGTTGTGTAAGTATAAGTCGTGCGTGCAAACTGTCAAAAAAGGCCAAGGACAGTCTGGGTATTCTCCTAAATAATTCTGCGCTCTTGATGCAAAAGAAACCCTTACCAATAAAAAAAGTGCCAGTGTCCTAACTGGATCCAAGTATGTGAAATTTAATTTCCCTGAGGGTTGAGAGTAAAGATTGGGTAAGAAAACTGGGACACGAATGGATTGGTTCATACGAAAACCTGAAATAGCCCTGGGCAGAAATTTGGAAGTATTGTGAAATACTGTATAAGAAGAATCCATCTTCATATGCAGGGAGTAGCTCTAGATGGGAGATGTAGTAACACAAGCAGATATCCCAAAAGGTTGTACAAAGAAATATATACAATGTTTTAAATGGGAATATAGGATGTGGCAATCCAATGCCATGGCGTTATGCAAATATTTGTACCAGATGACTTGGACAGAACTAATTAAAAGTTCAAATGCTTTGAACACATGAGATAGACAACACTGCTGATATTGCTGATATCAGAGATATCAGACAGCTGATGCTCATATGAACAAAGTTAAACATCTTCCCATTTAGTTCTGATAGTCAGTTGAGGTTGTCACAGCCTGATACACAACAACTTCTGGTAGATGCCATACAGGCAGCATTAAGGCTGCAAGATGTAGGAATGCCAGCTCCAAGCAAAGGGTTCAATCATAATGCAAGATGATAATGCATTGGAAGGAAAGTAGGTTGCTCACGTTTAAGTATCAGAACTAACAGGCCAGTGCTTCCTCTGCTCATAACCATAAATCCTAACGCCTCAACCTGTTCTCATCAGACTCTCTGGTGATGATACAGAACAACGGGATGGTGTGCATGTGCCTCAGCTCTCAGGGGAGAAAGGCTCCTTTAGCAGACCCTCATCTTGGATCCATCTTCCCTGGAATAATTTTTTTTTTCCTGGGTAGTGGAAAATAAAGTGTTTTTTTTTAAAAAAAACCCCTTCATTTGCAAAATCCAAGTAATAATAATAATAAAAAAATAGTGCACACAAATCTTTAACAGGTAACTCTGTGTGTTGCCAAATATCAACCTGAAGATCTGGGAACTTAAAGTAAACCAAAGACTGTTGAGAAGAGGAAGGCGTGACCCAGAACAAACCAGAACAAATTCCAAAACTCTAAAATCCCTCATAGAATACAAACAATTTGTTTGGTCCATTCACACTGGCATATGAACAACCGTCAGTCAGTAACTCACAACAGAAGGAACAATCTGTATATGGGTAAATGCACCAAGGTCTACAATCTTGGTGGAGAGAGCTGCATAAAAGGACACCTGCCCCCTGCTCAGGCATTCAAAGAAAACTTTATTTCAGCAGACTGACCTTACATTAGGTCTTCCTGGTAGATATATTGATTCAAACTGCCTCTTCTTGAAGCCTAAGTCTGGTAAATTTTATTATTCAGCTGCATGACATAATGTCTGAGGCATGGTCTCACTGGTGTCTTGGGAGAACCTGAAGCCTGTTGATGAGATAAAGTATTCATATGGGATTTTCCTTGCGAAAACAGTAGGTCCTCCTTGGTCCGGAATATAACTGGGCTCTTTCAAATGATATGCTACTGGATTTTTAAATTGAGGGGTTTTTTAAGCATTACTCCAGGTTCAGAATTTAAAATTCTAGGATTACTCAGAACAAGATAAGCTGCTTGTCTGTTGGATTGCTTCACTGTGTCAGCCTTTGACCAAACCACAGATACGCTCCAATTCCCTGGGTTCTTCAATCACAAAAGCATTTGAGAGAAGCCCACAATGGTCATTCCACAGCAAAGGGCAGGGATCCAGCAGCAGCGGCAAGACACTTTTACAGTCACACCAGGGTTTCTTTGGAGGAATAAATATATCTACCTGTCAGTAGATATTTTGCATTTCAAGGCACAAACTAGGTTGAGGGATCTAACAGAAAAATTATGGAAAGTGAGCCCTGCGAGCTACAAGTCTTCACCTGATATCATTTAAGGAACTCTCTTTTAAAGTAATGTCTCCAATTTCCACTCTACTATCCAGGGAGGAGAAAATAGAGAGGTACAAGATGAGTTGCTCTTGAGCCCAAAGGAGAAAGAAGAGTATACTTGCTCCAAAGCAGAGACTGCTCTATCAGAAAAGGTCTTCTTCACACCAGCAAGTAATAATGACTCCAAAGCTGCTGTTTTGGATATCACCCTTTCAATCTCACAAAGAAAGATGACTCTGGTACCTGGCCCACAGATGAAAGGTTCACTTTAGGCTTCTGGCCCTTAGACTACATGTAATACGAGTCAGAAACCTAATGACTTTCATGTCTCAACCTGTCAGATGCTGGAGCTTGCAACCTATGCCTTGACTCATCCCCGGAGCAGTGCTCTTTCAGGTAAGATAATCAGACCTTATTTTTCATAGACAATACTTCATATGACAGTAAGTCTCAGGAGGTTTCAACTAGCCCAAAAATATCTATGAGGTGGTGACTTAGTTTAGGTATCATTCAGACATGTGATATTGGGCAGAAAAAGAAACATACAAACAAAGTTGACCAAAACCTTGTTTTAACTTTGTATAACAACGTTAGACTCTAGATATAAACTGACCAGGTCAGGCTCCAAGAAACAATTTGTATTAATGTCCAAATATTACTGGACACTTTTTGCCTAGCACTCATTATATATAAATAAATATATATATATACACCCCTCATCCCAACCCCCCACTGGAAAACAACTTTATGGTAAAATCTCACAGACAAATTCCAAACAACTATATCATGATTTCTGGCATATTGCTTCATGCCATTGTCTTGACATTCAAATGAGTTTAATAATTGCTCTTTTGAAGCTGCTAATGTTAAAAAAAATCTCTCAAGTTCTGGAATTGGCTGGGAATTCCAGGTTCTAACAGCTACACTGGAAATATTCACTCATCAAGAGGTTCAAAAGACACTGTCAGAACTGAAACACAAACACATGTCAGAACGACTTGAAACAGAATGACTATAACTCAGAGTTTGGTTTTTCTTTAAATTATGTTTGAAGAGCTTTAAAATGTTTAATTTATTAAACTGGCTTTGATACTACAAGCATAGCTTTCACTTTCAAGTGCTACAATGGCTCAATGGAACACAGAATATATTAAGTTTAAATTCCACTGCCACCATACACACTTATGAAAGACATTTTAGTGTTTCTTCACTTGAAATAATATACTGTCTCTGTGAATTTGACATGAAAACTGAAGCAGCAGCCTCTCATACTGCACAGACAACTCTGTCAGTCACCATCACTGCTCCAATTACCAAAAAATCCACTAAGTAATCACAACTACTAGTAGCTGAACACAAGGAGCTCCTAAAAAAATTCCCCAAAATGACAGATTTGGTTTTCGAAGAACAGTTCAAGTTTTTCCAGACGTTGCTTCAATCTCTCCTGGCAGATCTGGCCTTTGGCATGGCTTCTCTTTTACTTCCCTCTGCCTGGCCTTCCTTGGGGTTGTTGTCATAAGAAAGACCATGTACTCAGCTGTTTCTCTTCCATATACCTGTATTTACAGTTCTCTTCCTCTATCCCTTTCAGCTCCTATTGTCTACCAGGAGCACTACTTCAGTCCACTTAATACTATGAGCCGATGCTGCAGACGCAGTAATACCAGTGAAACCCAGGCTTTGAACAAAATCACATCCCATGAAGCATGCTTTGTACCCTTTGCAAAGGCAGGTCAGAGTTGTGGGATCAAGAAACTCAAAACCTCCCCCGCAAATGCTGAAAAGAGCACACATGTAACACTGCCTTCCCTCCAGAGCAGGACTGGGCGGTGAAGGGCAACGTATAGACTAATACAGTGGACAGAATCAATGCCTGCTATCTGATAACCAACTCTTAGAATGACAGCACCACTACAGTGTTTGTCTGCCACCCCACCATCTAATATCCACACACACTGTTCAATGCACTGTTGTTTTCTTAAAGATGCACTCTTTGCTGTACATACACCATTTCCTTACATGTGCAGCAGTTTTCTAGCTGCTTAATACCAGCAAGCTACCAGAGTCACAAATACTTCATTCAAAAGGTACGTGAGAGGTAAGACAAGTCCCAAGATTCCATAAAAAGTATTCATTTAATACTGTGCTATATTTTATTACATTCAACCTTGCCTTCACCTCAAGTGACACATCAGAGATTACATGCTGACAGTACAGGAGAGCGGTTACTGCTCCAAAAGAAACAAAACAAATACCCAAACACCCCCACCTTTGGGCTTAAATGCATTATCACTACAGTTTTTGAATGTAACAAACCACAGAATGGGTGTCCTGGCATAAAACCAGAATCCTAGGTAGTAGAAAGTAACTGCTCTTTACTAACAGCTTTATTTTAGTACATACACACAGGGATTTGCAGAAGTGCCATTTGTTGGAAACGCAGCGGCGCAGGGAAGGAAAAGTCAGTCTCTAACCGCCTACGAACAAAGAAAGCTAATTTAATTTTGAAACAAAAGGAACTAAATTCATCATTCTGAGACAACCCCAGGACATGCCAGCATGAAATGGAAGAAAAGGAGTTGCCAAAGACATGCAGAACAAGCTTTTTAAAGTTACCTGGAATCGGGATATTTTGTAAGCGTGGCCAAGCTGCTGGTATACATGTGCCCACCCACATCAATGTGAACTGGTGCGTTGGATTTTGTGAGCTGTGCTGGAGTGGGGATGCCTTGATTGTTCAATGGAGATGCAGGGGATCTAGTGATCAGAGGTCTTGACATATTGGGCCGACTGTCCTGTGAAGAGATAGACCTGGGTTAATGATCTCCTTAAAAACCTCACAGAACCCCACAGTCTTGAATCAATAGCACTGTCTCATAGCCTTAGATTATGACTTTTATCTCAGTAAAGCACAGACAAGTACTTGGCAGTTTTTAAAATGAATCTAGCTCTAAGAGTTTTAACTTGCTACATTTTAAATAAGTGGGGCAAAATGCACTCATAAAACCCCACAAAATAGAAATCGCATTCAATAAAACAAGTTTTTCCTGAATACTATTCGTGACAGTCAATCCGTATCATTGAAAAACGTCACTCTCATTTTTGAGTTGATAAAGACCCCGTCAGAAAGTGCTGCAGACAAAAAGACCAAGAACAATATTCTCCTTAATTAAGACAACCCCAGGTAGACTTTCCGTTCCTTCCCAAGCCCTCTGTCACTCTCATACCACCAGAACAGAAATACAAACCCTCAACTCCTCCATCCTGCACACTCTTCTCTCGAATTCCCAATTCACATAGCACGGGAACAGAAGCAGAAACACCTGGACTAGTCAACTGCTCATGGACTGCAGACCACTGGACATCGACAGCCTTTGAGAAAGACATTTTCCATTTAAAAGTTACACGTATGGCGACAGCTGCCCCCGCGTGCCCCACATAGGCTGCAGGTCTGAGCGGCTTCCCGAGGCCGGCGAGCTCCGAGCGCGGAACGGGAGCCGATGCTCTGCTGATGAAACCAACTTTTAGTCACAAAGGCAGCGCCGCACCGCCAGCACGGAGCAGCGGCCGCCTGCGCGGCGGGTGGGGCAGGGCAGGGCGGTGAGCTGGAGCCAGGAAGGCAGGCGGCAGGCAAAGTTGGGGATTAAAATAGAAATGCATTCGAGAGCGGTTTTGAGACAGCCCCGCTTTCGACTGAAGGAAAGCCCCACACGGGGTGGAATCTTATAGGGATGCCCTGAGAACTAAAAGCCCTTGCAAATGACTAAGTTTTACATTTAAAAGGTAAGCAAAGCAGCGAGAAGTCAGATACACTTCATCACAAAACTCTCTTTGTTCTTTCAACACTGTCTTTCAGCTGCACAAAGAAATGGATTCCTTGTAAACATCTCCTCAGAGCCAGGCAGCAAACCTCGCCACAGCGGAGCGCTGCCGTGAGAGAGAGTTACACGGCACTCGGACTAGCGAAGTCCGCCGCCGCCAAAAACATCATTTCTCCATTCTTCACGGCTGCTAAAAGACTCAAACCATAAAGGCAACAAGAGCCAGGAAAATGTCTGACTGATATGATTTACGGGCCAACGTTGCACAATAAATCCAAGTAATATGTAACAAAAGGCATCTATAAACCACAAGGTACTTAACTAATTTTCTCTCATACACACAAGCAAGGTAAGGTCTAACACTGATAAAAACGAAGGGAATGAAGAAAAACATCTAGTTTAGATTTGGGGGGGGGGGGGGAAGGGTTGGGTTTCTTCTGTTTCTTTACAAGCAGAAGTTAATATAAATCTGCAGAAATACCAGGCTTAATCACTACAATTGCTTGAGGAGGTGCCTGCAGCGCAAAGAAGACAAGTCCAGACAAAATAAGGTACACACGCTATGCAAAACTAATGTCTGCTACAAATGCTATGTGGTACAACCACCACCCAAGATGCTACTGATCTGCAGTACGGTATTTAGTAAAATAATGAAGAAAAAATTAAAAACAACAACTCGAAAGGTGAAAGTAAGAAGGCAAGGACTGATACAAATTGGGGGTGGGGGGGAGAGAATGTGTTGGACAATTAGCAGGAGGAAAGCAGCAGGTCTGAGGAACACATTTCAGTGCTTAAAAGCAGACAAATGGTTTGGCAAAAACAAAGATAAAATCACAAACGAAAGCTGAGACTAAAATGAAAAACAAATTCTGTAACTTGCATGAGACAGACACCACCATCTCCCTTAGCAGGATCCTCTCTGGCAGAAAAAACACAGCTCTCTTGCAATTTAACACACTGCAGCACCACCGAGTCTGTAATAGTTTTTCAATTGGACACATTCTCCTGTATACCCTGCCTGGGGCTGCTCAAGAGAAAATGAACAGATTTGCAGGGTTAATATTGTAGTTAGGCTGGGACCTCATTCAGCATAGCTGCGATAGCACTGGCTGTACAAAGCAGTAGAAGAATGTGTAGTACGAACACCACTGCCGGGACAGGAGATAGGTCGGAGGACTGTGGGCATTTTACAAGGCAAAAAACTCCATAAAACATAAGAAAAGGGAACCAGTTTCCAAACGCAAGTTGGAACCAATCTGCCATTTACACAGTTTGCCTACTAAAACTCCCAAGAAATAAAACTGCTTTATAATAAAACCATTTGCTCTCTTATTTCAGAGAGAGCTCCTTTTCAACATTTCCTCTTCGAGTTACCTGCATTTATTGCATCTCACGAAACAATGCTCATCTTCTCAATGTTTAGTTATTAAGCACAATAATGCTGAGATTGCTCCAGTCTTAGCTCACAAAGCGTATTTCCCTGGATAAAACCAGTTCACTACTCTTTTGGAGACCACTTTGAAATTAGGCAATGGTATTTCTGCTGTAGTTACCCCAGAGAAATTAAAGCAGAAATGGGATTCGGAGAACCAGGTACTTTAAAAAAACCCAGTTTTTTTAATGTGGCACAATGCAATATCACAGTCACAGCACAGAAGGTCACCATCCAATGGGTATGGCATTTAACAGACCAAAGTTATATCACTGCATTAGTTAAAATCACTGTTTAGTTCAGCTATGGAAAGGATAACACAGGGACAAACAGTCTCTCTGAAGAAACACGTGCCTTGCATCAGATTACTGCAAACATGGAAGTGAACAAGCTTTGGTAAAAAGTGGTAATAACACGGTACTGCTGGTAAATTATTAATCTTCTACCACCTAATGTGACTACAAATATAATTCATTAGAAAGAACTACAGGAGGAGAGAAGGAAGTCATAGAAACTAAACTCAGTGGGATCTAGTAAGCTATCCAGAACAGCTGACAACAAAAAGAATCAAAAAGCTCTTCAGAACCCTTTCTTGAGATCAGGCAGGTGAGACATGCACCCAGAATTGGGTTCAGAGCTCAGCCACGGCTGTTCCCACATGGGAGATCCCAGAGGCTGTTGTCTGCCTCAGGAACTGCATCAGCTTTGTTCATGAGTGGGACACAAAGTAGGGCTAGCACCTGCAGTGGCTGGATGACCAGTGACCTTCCTGACCTGTCAACAGTCTGTCACTTGATAGCTTTTCTTCTCAAATATTTTAGTATTTATCCTACAAGAAAAAAAAATTAAGTAGGAACAGGAAATTGTCAGTTTTACAACAGTTCCCATGAACCAAAATACTTCAAATACCCTGTAAAACATTTATCATTCTTAGTATTCAAAGATGATCCCCCCCCAACAGCTTCTCATAAAAATTAGTTCCCATTTCCACTCAGATTTAATGTATTACTGAAATTATGTACTCAAAAGAGTCAAAATCTGTGTCCTAGGCAGGTTGTTAAAGGCATTTAGGCTGTATAAAACTTTTCAGTGTTGGTTCAGCAATCAGAAACACTGCTCTATTAGCACAGTTTGGGGCTCGTCCACTTTCTTGATGATATTTGAAGGAGTCTTTCCACAACAAGTAGTTCACAGGCACAGGTCTTTTGAGTATATCTGAACCTGCTTCACATTTTCTGCTCTAGGGAAGCCCTCTTATAGCCTTAACAGAAGCAAAAGCAGCCCTCCCTGAACTACTCCTCCTAGTATTTACTAAAATCTGTATGATTTAGTTTTCCTACCAAAGTGGACTGAGGGTCATTGAGGAGAGCTTTTAGATCTCTTCTCCTCCCTGCCTGTTTCTTCTATGCCATCTTCTCCTCAACTCCACTCAAGAATATTGTTAAAGAATAAGCCTTTACACCTGGGTTGAAAAAACACAGTAGTTGCAGGGCTGAGATGTGCACTCACGCAACTGGTCTACCAAGCAAGAATAATATAGGAACCATATCAATTTTCTGGTAGCAAGTGGAAGAAATAAGAGATATCTGAAGAATGTGAGTCATTACAGTGTCCTAAGTGTACAAAATTTAAGAGACAGGAGACTTACTCTTCCCCTCAAAATATTAGCACTGTTGTCAGAAGTATTATTTACATGCTGTGCTCTTGAGTAAAGTCATCTCAGTTCCCCTCTTAAGTCTGAAACCTTGACAAAAAACATGCCACTACAAGACAACCTGAGCTCATACACAGAAGAACTGACATTCAAGTACATTCTACTTGACTCACTGGAAGTGGGGATCATTTTAGGTTGCAGGTCAAAACATTGCTGGTTGGGGTTATTATAGCCAACATCTTCCCTGCTGTGAGCCAGCCCAGCTCATGCAAGAGTATATATGCTACTCAGTATTAGTTATTGGATGTTCCCTGTCACAGCCCAAGCAATTATTTCTGCTGAGAAACTCAAATTTATGTATTTCAGACTCTCTTGGATTTTTCTGAGGGGAGGTGAGGACAAGCTTGTCTTATTGTTTCTAGACATTAGAAAAATAATCGTGCAGTAGTTTATTTTAAAGCATCAAATCAGCCTATGTTCATTATCCTTTTTTCACAACAGAAAGCCATTGGAGAGATGTCTCTCCTTACAAAAGCCTGGTGCCCAGAAGAGCTGGAAAAAGCTGTTAGCACATCCACATCAGCCACCTCCAGCAGAAGAGTCAACTCTGAACACACACACATCCCACTGTATAGGGAATGAATCCAAACAGCAAAAAAACTTTAGAAGTTGGTGACAAATCTCTTTTCCTCCAGTACAAAGCAGAAATCGCTCAAGTATCATGAACAGCTATGCACCTGCACTCTGAAATAAACAGCAGGCTGATGCTTGTGGGTGCTTGTGGGATGGGGAAAGCCCAGCTCAAGACCCTCATCCAAACCAGGAACATTAGGACTACTGTCAGATTTGGCTCCTGCACAAGTGTCCCCATTTTGAAGATACACTTTT